AGAGCACTGGAACAGGCTGCCCAGGGAGGTTGTGGAGTCCCCTTCTCTGGAGATATTCAAGACCCTCCTGGACAGGGTCCTGTGCAGCCTGCTGTAGGTGACCCTGCTTCAGCAGGGGGGTTGGACTAGATGACCCACAGAGGTCCCTTCCAACTGCTACCAGTCCATGATTCTGTGATTCCCTGTAATCTGTCAGGGTAGGAAAATGGTTGTATTGCATTATCTAGAATAGTATCTCCAACTTCATGCTCCTGGAAGATAGAAACTGGAGAAAACTTTCTGACTGCAGCACAGGTGTAAGCTGATGAAGTGGATATGTTAGCAAAGAACTAACTAATTATCCCCAAATTAATTTATATTAATCTCAGAGGTTTTATTCACTTCGTATATATTTGCTTATAACTTTCAGATTCCACTCTGGAAGCAGAAATTGGGACGTGGAGATGAGCCTGTTGTCTGGGTAAGTGTTCTGTTCTCAGTAATTTTGAGTGCTTGCTTCTGTAGTTGATAGCTGTGGGATCAGACATGGGCAGCATCAGCTGTCTTCACTGTAACAGTGTTCCATCTGAATGTGAAGAAACACTTTCTCACTGTGAGGGTGATGGAACGCTGGAGCAGGTTGCTCAGAGAGGTTGTGGAGTCTCCGTCCTTAGAGAGATTGAAAAGCCATCTGGACATGGTCCTGATTAGTTGGCTCTAGACGGCCCTGCTTGAGCAGGGGGTTGGACCAAATGGCCTCCTTCCAACCTCAACCATTGTATAGTTTTGTATTAATATTTGTTATTCTCTTATAACAGATTTGTGAAAGAGCCTAAATCTGATGCTCCTTTTTAACATTTACAGTAAATTAACAGCGAGGCAGTCAGTAAAATCTACAGGTGACAAACCTTAACATTGGGGAGAGTGACAGATTTGTGAAAATTATTATGCGGATATTGTTGAGGCTACCAGCTTTGTAGAATTTTAAGTAGATATCTGTACTTCTAAGAAGTAGATGGATGACAATACCCCTGTAGGCCTGACAGAGGATAGAAAAATACAAGTATTCAGGTGTCAGCAATTAAACCGAACCATAAATGGTGGCATTGGAGTGTTGTTTGATCAGTTAATGCAATTCAGTAACTTGCCACTACAGAATTCCTTTCAAATAATGTATCATTACAGTTTCAGTTACCTGGCATTTATCTGTTTATTTAAGTATCTCCATTTCTTGTGGCAATTTGTGTTTCTGAAATTCTGCAAAATAATCTGCAAATTTCTGTCATTCTGTGATTTCCAAATCATTCATTCTCTCCCAAAATGCCAGTTTATTTGTAGTACAAAAAAAGGTTTAGTTTTAAAAAGAGATCTGACTGTTATGAAGATGGTCTAAAAAGGAAGAGAAGAGTCAGGAAAGGCCACCACAGAATGTGGATTTCATGTGTTTCAGTGGATTGTAAGATATGTAAAGTCTGTAGTTACACACTGTAACAGATTCCTCTAAATATTGTTGCACACAGTTATACATGTATATTGATCTGGCAAAATAGCTTGCCCAAGATCTTTTTCATTCCAGTCCCTTTGTGGTTTTGTTTAATATTGAAAAATGTCGAAAAACAGTGCTTCAAACTCTTTTTTTGAGTGGATTTAATGTAAGCTTTAAGCTGTTAGCAGCTACCTTCAGTTTAATTTTTGAAAACAGATGTACCTGCCATCTGACATAAGTAACTGCAGCACCTCCAAACCTCCACCACACCTACATATCTTACAAGTTAAGGAGCAAAACTGCTCCTCTAACTCAAGTGTCAAGACAAAATAGTTAGCTTGAAAAAGTGTGATGTAGTACCATAGGTGTGTTTTCCCAACTTCAAGAGCTACTACAGGAATTCGCCGTACTCCTGCAGCCCTCTTGATCTGGGCCGTCTGCTGCCTTTTCAGTTGTATGCTTATTTGGGAGCTTCTGGCAGCTAAACACCCAGTACTCAAATTCACAAACCATGTTACTGCAACAGGTGCGACATCTCTTATTAGAAGACATCACTAGATAATGTTTACCTATCATCATATATTGCTGTCAACTTTTTATTTAGGACAGGGTCTAAGACAAAAATGCTTATCCTGCTCAATATTTGTGCTTTGGTGTGGGACATGAAAGAGATGTGCTGTTTTCTTAGGAGTAATAGTGCCAGAAATGTTGCAGGCTTAGTACTTCAAGGACAGAAAGCATGATTTAAAGAAAGGATCTGTAGCTTCTGCTTTTAGGAAGCATTTTTTTTCACTCCCTTTGCTGCTTTCTGGTGAGCAGCTGTTTAACTAATGGCAATTACCTTTCTTCCCAGGACTATCATGTTATCCTACTTCATGTTTCCAGCGGGGAGCAGAACTTCATTTATGATCTTGACACAGTGTTGCCGTTTCCGTGTCCTTTTGACATGTACAGTGTGGAGACCTTTAGGTTGGATGACAGCCTTCGTCCAGAATTTCACAGGTGGTGACATAAAATATAAAGACCATGGGTGTTAATTTCATGAAATCAAAGTTGAAGTTGTCTTTGTGGATGCGTGGTCACAGAGGTTTTTTTGCTATACTCTGGTAAAATAAATAAATGCACTGTGTTATTTTTCTAAAGCTGTTTGCCTTAGTCATCAAAGGCCATTTTCTTTACTATTGTAGTGTCTTGTTAATTGTTTCAGCTGCTTGGCATGATATTGCTGATTTATGTATTTAATGAAATTAATGCTCCTTGATGGGAGGAAGGGAAGTTGTTCTTGTTCTAAGTGACTAATGTGGTATTGCATACATACATGTTTTGATAGAATTTTGTTTGATTTAGGAAAATCAGAATGATTCAAGCAGATTTGTACCTGAAGACATTTGCTTCAGACAGATCTCATATGAAAGATGCAAATGGGAAATGGCAGAAACCTCCTCCCTGCTGACAGTGTTGAAAGGCATGGTCCAAGATGCACACAAGAAATAAATATGTCTCCTTAACATGTGTCCAGAAGCACATCCAGCTAGCTTATTATTTCCTATGGGGAGAAAAAAAAAAATGTCTCTGAAGCATTTGGCACTTCCTTTTCTGAACATGTAAAGTCTAGCATGCCTCCTGGCATTTATTGTTACCAAACATTAATTACTGATCTTCATAAGCTGAGCAGAGAATGAGAGATAAGTAATACTGTGCTCTGATTACAGCGGGGAGCTGAAGCGAAGAGGCCAAATAACTTGCTTCGGGGTCACAAAGTGAATTTTGAACACTCTGCTTATACTACACTTCAGCTGGCAGGTCCCATCCTGCCAGAGCTGGCTGTTTTGACAGGGGGAAGTTTTCAGGCTCTGCTCAGCGTGTTGGGTTTGCCTGCACGAGGTGTTTGAGGTTTTGCTGCCAGGTGAATGGACCTGAGGGCACGTTAAGGCAATCTGGAAAGTCAGCAAATTTTTCCCCAAGCCTTAAGCCTCTTTTAAGTGATAGTCTAGGTAATAGCCTGGGGGCCAAGCAGAGAGAAGTAAAGACTTGCCATCTCTTTCTTCTGTTCTACAGAGCTGCTTAAACCATTCTTATCACACAGCACTTCAGCTTATCCTAGTCCTGTGTTTGGCAAGCTGACTAACATTTGCCATGTGTTTGTTTTGTTCACTCATTTTCTTCCCAGATGGAGAAGAGCATGGTGAAGTTTCTCTTTGAAAGGGTTTTCATGTTACTGCTCTGCATGCTTGGTTTTGTTGCCTTTTTTTTAAATAATGCAGTACTGCTGTGTGTTTATGTTGGAGAAGGCAGGGTCAAAGAAACACGTTTTGTGTTTAGGTCCAAGTTGATTGTGGTTTTAAGTTGCTGGGAAGTTAATTCTCAGTCTCTGCTTTGGCTTCTAAGGAATCTTGGTGTTTCACACTGGAGTAGAAATGAATTACGAACGTGGGCAGGAGCATAGATGTAGTCTTCATTGTGAAGCTTTAGGTGTTTTCTAGATGATCCAGGTTATGAAGCACCTTAAATTGTATGTCTTGGCCCTTATCTCCAGTAAAGTTTTATACAAAGGGAGTGGAGGATGCCTGAACTGCAGTTCACGGTTTGCTGTTAGCTGGAGCCTCCTAGGTGCTGAGGACTTTTTGCCTGTAGAAATTAGCTCTCTTGTTGAGGGCTGATGGAAGTGTGAGGAATCTAGATTAGGCCAGACCAGGAAGGTGAAAAAATTCTACTCAGATCAAAAGTAGAAAATGTTATTTGTGGATAGTAAGTTACAGAATGACTCGGCAGTTGCAGATGTGTACATGTACCTCCAGCTGTAGTGAATCACTCTGTAGCTGCAGACCCTGTAACTCTCCCTTTACCTGTCGTGCTTGGCTGAGCTTGGCCTCGCTGATGAGCAGCAGCCACATGGTCTCAGCCGACCTCCAGATTGTCTCTGTGATGTTGGTAGATGGTGAAAGATACGTAGATCGTCATTCCTCTGCTCTTTATTTCTTTGCTCTGTACCTTGCCATGCTGAAAGAAACATCCGTAGGTCATCCAGTCCAACACCTGCTCAAAACAGGGGTTACTTAAGGCTCAGTCTAGTCTTGAACACCCCGAGGAGTGGAGATTCCACCACCTTTCGGGGCAGTCTGTTCTAATATTTGACCAGTGTCATGGTTTTAAAAAAAAAAAAAAATCCTTAATATGTAATGAGAATTTCCCATGTTCCACTTTGCTTGTTCTGCGTCTTGTCTTGGCACCAGGCTCTTCCAAGAAGGCTCTGTTTCAGTCTTCCTTGTGTCCTCTGGGCAGGTCTCCCCTTGATCTTTTCTGTTTAAGACTGAACAGGCCCAGTTCTCTTAGCCTCTCCTTGAATATCGTGTTCTCCCACCCCGAACAACTTGATGTTCCTCTTCTGGGCTCACTCCACCATGTCAGTGTTTTTTGTGCTGAGGAGCACCAGGCTGTACACAGTGTTCCAGTTCTGTGCTCCTGGTTGGTTGGCCGAATGTTGCAGATGAAAGAAGCTGGTTACCCTGCACCCAGTGACAGTGGAAGGTCACTCACTGGGTAGCTTCAAGATCTGGGTCAGAACAGGAATAGACTATCAGATCTAGGTAGTCTAGTTCAAGTTGTCTTTCATTCAGTACCAGTTTCTTCAGCTTTATTTTTTTGTCTTCCCTGTATTCACTCGAGATACCTTGCAGTAGTAAGCGCTGCAGTGTTGGTGCTGTGAGTCAGTGAGGAGTTTGGGTTTAACTGTTGTGGAGGAAGCGCGTGCTTGAACTTTTGAATGCATCTAAGTCCTGTGTTTCAGTGGAGCAGTTCCGTAGATGAGCACGTGTCCTGCAGGCTAGCATGCAGGTTTAGAAAGTATTGCTGTCAACAAGTGGAACTGGTAATTCTCTTCCTTTAAGAGACTGGTAAAGTAATGTCTCAGCACAGTTTTATCAGGCACAAAAGCACCTTAGTTTAAAGTTGATGGAAAACTGGGTGGCAGACCTTTTGTTGTTGTAAAAGAGCCTGGGGTATTAACGTTCACTGCCTGCCAAACTGCAGATAAGTGTTTTCTCCCTGGTGTTTCACTAAAGTACCCTGCTTTCTGTGTTAGTGTTTGTGTAAGATTAAATTGCATACACATTTCATGTTAATGGCTAACAGAATTGACCACATATTGTTTTAGTATCAATTTCTTTGTGAGGCACATCTAGCTCAGAACATTGTTTATTATTATTATAATTATTATTTTGCTGTCATGTACAGTAGCCAAATTCCTAAACACTTGAGAAGATATTACATAAACATATAATAAACATAATAGTAAACATAACATATAATAAACATAACATATTACAAAAGCATACAAGGTTTTTATATTAATTGTTTGCTATATGTCTTTGATATTAAATGTTTGAAGACTGAAAAAATGATTAAAATGTATTAGTCTTTTTTTAATGTATGGGCATTGTGCCGTTAAAAAGAAACGTGCCCATGAACTCTTGGTATTTAAATATAATCAGCACTCCGGTACTGTTGTGTTGATACAGTTTGCTATTGTTAAAGCATATTGGTTACATTTATATACACTACTCTTCTTATCCCACTTGGTTTTGAAGCTTTAGTAAACTTAAAAAGACAGGAGTGTTTGCTCTAAAATACTGCCTCTTCCAGAGCAGAGCAGCTGTTAAGCCTGAATATGACACTTCGGAAAAGAAAATTCTGTGGTATCTAAGTCAGATGTAAGCTGAATAGGATAATGTCATTACCCAAAGTGAAGCTAGGACAAGGATACTGGGACCAGTGATCGTTTTTTTGAAGTGTATCAGGAAATGTTTAATGACCATGAAATTACTTTTGGAATTGAGTTGAGAAATCTCGATCGGTGAGCAATTAAGCATGTTTTTTCCTACTACTAGCTCAAAAGGAATAATTCTTAAACTATTTGTGCTGCTCGTGGGGTTGCAAAATAGACCTTCTAAAATGAGCTTATCTTGAGTCATAAATTTCAGTCCATGCTTAAAATAATTGAAGCTGGAATCATAGAGTAGTTTGGGCTGGAAGGGACCTTTAGAGGTCATCTAGTCCAAGCCTCTGCAGTGAGCAGGGACATCTTCAACTGGACCAGGTTGCTCAGAGCCCCATCTATACAACCAAGGATGTTTCCAGGGATGGGGTATCTACCACCTCTCTGGGCAACCCTGGAACACAGTTTCACCACCCTCAGAGTAAAATACTTCTTCCTTGTAGCTAATCTAAATCTCCCATTTTCAGCTTAGAGCCATTACCCCTTGTCCTATCACTCCATGCCCTTGTAAAAAGTCCCTCTCCAGCCTTCTTGCAGGCCCCTTCAGGTACTGGCAGGCTGCTCTAAGGTGTCTCTGAAGCCTCCTCTTCTCCAGGCTGAACAGCCCCAACTCTCTCAACCTTTCCTCGTAAGAGAGGTGCTCCATCCCTCTGATAATATTTGTGGGCTTCCTCTGGACCCGCTCCAGCAGGTCCATGTCTTTGCTATGCTGAGGGCTCCAGAACTGGACGCAGGACTCCAGGTGAGGTCTCACCAGAGCAGAGCAGAGTGGCAGAATCCCCTCCCTTGACCTGCTGGCCATGCTGCTTTTGATGCAGCCCAGGATATGGTTGGCCTTCTAGGCTGCAAGCGCACATAGCTGGGTCACGTTGAGCTTCTTGTCAACTGACACCCCCAAGCCCTTCTTGGCAGGGCTGCTCTCAGTCCCTTCATCCCCCAGCCTGTATTGATAGTGGACGTTGCCCTGACCCATGTGCAGGACCCTGCATTTGGGCTTACTGAACTTCATGAAGTTCACATGGGCCCGCCTCTCCAGCTTGTCCAGGTCCCTCTGGATGGCATCCCGTCCTTCTGGTGTGTCAGCTGCACCATTCAGCTTGGTGTCATCTGCAGACTTGCAGAGGGGGCACTTGCTCTCGCTGTGTATGTCATTGATGAAGGTATTAAACAGTTCTGGTCCCAGCACGGACCCCTGAGGGACACCACTTGTCACTGATCTTCATCTAGGTGATTATTTTTTTTTTATAAAAGAGAACATTAAGGGTGGGTTTTTTTTGTTGTTTTTTTTTTTTAAACCAAACAACCACAAACTGACCAACTAAACAGAAAAACCTCAGTCTCCTCTGTATCTCATCAGAACTCATGTGCTAAGCATTAGCCTTTTGCAGCTGGCTGTGCTCTAGCCGTTTCCCAGAGCTAGGCCTCTATGTTTCTCACTGGCGTTGCTCTGGCCTCTGTTCTGCTCTGCTGCTGTGTGTGCTGGCGAACCTACCTGGGTGCATGGTGCTTTCTCACCCAGCCCTGTCCGCAGAGCAGCTCTGCTGCAAAGCACGTACCTGAGCTGCAGCAGATTCCCCTGGTCCCTCCTGGTTGCCAATGGCCTCCTGTTGAAGGAAAACAAGGGCGAATCTGGTGTTTTGTTCAAATAATGAAAATTAAGATGATGCTATTTGGGGCACAGATTCATCATTCTCGGGCTGGTGAGCCCAGCCTAGGGTTTTTTAAGTCTTCTTTCCACAGATTAATGAGGTCTCATTCTGCTTAGTTTTATGACTGCTGATGAGATCAGCCCTCCTTACTGCCGGCCTGTGTACAGTACAGCTTGCACAGTGCATTTCGAAATTACTCAGAACAGATGGTCTTACGGCTTATATGCGACTGTTAGCATCAGCTCTAACACTGATAAGCATTCGTTTGAATTTCAGTTCTCTCTAGGTGTTTGGTAGCACACTGGCAGGATTGATTTGTAAAGGCTTTTTGTTATTTTTATTACTATTATTAAAATCCCTGTTAGCCACAAATGGTGGGGTTTTATTTTTTTGTTCTTGTTTTGAAGAGCATGAGTAGGACAGCTGAGAAATTGTGGAGGCACTGTGTGTAACACATCAATGTAACAGGCAAGTTGCTAGACAGAGGCCAGGCAGATGTCTGCAGTTTCTTTCTGTATCTCCGCTCTGAGGTGGTGGTAGGATCCTAGTGAAAGCAAAAAGGAAAGCACTGATAGGGATAGAAGTAACTGGTATGCACTTCATGGGAACCTTCTGCTCCTCTCATTTGAGAGTAGAGCTCCAGTCTGTCAAGTTTGGTCCTTACTTCATGAGCTTTTGTGGAAGTAAAGGATCAAGTCAGGATAGAGGCTATAAAGGTACAACTAAGTATAGGAGTATTTAAATACTGTGAATGGCTTATTGAATGTACACTGCTTACTGTGGAAGATATTTTGAGATGATGAGCTTTGTTTTGTGCTAAGATGGACCAGGGTGGTTTACAGGGTCAGTTACGTCTCAGCTGTGGGGACAGCACCATCCAGCTGAGCGTGGTAACGGCCTTTCCAACTCTACCTGCAAAAAGCCCTCTCCCTGCTCAGGCAAGGGAGGGGGATCTGAGTGGATGCCTATGCAAGTCTGTGAAGAGCCCAACTTTTAAAGTATTTTAGGTGCCCCGGAGGTTAGACAGCAGCAGAACTGATCTTGGAGGCTTTGCTTCAGGCTTGCTGACTTCCAGCAGCGCTTCGGCAGCTGTCGTGACGCAGAGTTAGTGCAAGGTCTGTGAGCCATGCCGAGGCTTGGGTGAAACACTGCTTTTGACCTACTGTTGGCAGAAGCCACAAGTATTGTGGCTAACAGTGCCCTCTGATAGTGCGTGGCCTTTTATTTCATCCCTGCTCAGGGCAAAAGTGTCAGACTTGACTGAAAAAAAGAAAATTATGCAAGAATCCCAGAATGCGCCAGCTAGGTCTCACTGACAGTGTGCGTGTGTTACAAAGTGGGTTTGGTCAAAGAGGAGGCATTGGCTCTGCAGGCTACTGTGACAGCCACAGCACCTGAGGAGGACTGCATCTGTAATGTAAATATATATATAAAAAAAATTATGCTGCACTTGACCTTGTATAAAGATTATATAAAGTATGCGTTTTTGCCGAGCTGTTTCCTAAAGCTGTAAGGTCTAGCGTGGTGTACATGGCGTTCAGATACAGCACATGAGGAGAGGTCTCACTATGTTTTTTCCTATGGATCGCTCTCGTACTGCTTCAGTGCCATCTACTGACCGGTTCTTAGACCATCTGTTCTTCACTTCTGTGAATTTTTCCTTTCATTAAACTTCTCTGATGAACTGTGTTATGCTCTGCCACAATCCTTCTGAATTTAAGAGAATATTTCACTTCCTACAGACATTGTGACAGCAAATTCCATGTTGCTAACAACAGTTGCTATGTTTGTAACTCTACTGGAAAAATCCCCAGTGGGCTTCTTTAGCATTCACAGAACAGTTTTATGAAATTATTGTTCTACTGTGCTCACTGCACACAAAGCAGGGAATTGTTTATCTTTCAAACCTTAAACTATATGAAGAATCACATTAATTTTAAAACAAAAGCATTTGGGAGGAAAAGGTAAGTTGGGAATTGGAAAACAGACTTACCGGTCTACCAGCAAGCAAGAGCTGTTACCTGCTACTAATTGTTCTTGAGCTACAACAGCAAATTCCTGGGCTTGTGCTATTTGAAATCCCCACATGGTCGGGCAGAAATTGGCCCTGTTCTGCCAGACTCACTTCAGCAGCAGGAAGATGCTTGGCTGGACGTAAGGATTTTCAATGTGCAGAGCCCAAACAGGTTAACAATAATAAGGGGCCAGCCCTCGGAAGTGGTGAGAGCTGAGATTAGGCAAGCTGCAAAGCTATGCCGTAGTGCAGGTGTGGTGTGAGCAGAGGGCTTCGGGGGCTGGATTATGGCTGGGACTGCCGGGTCTGGGATTCCTGAACATCGTCTTCCCTTCCTCACTTACGCTCTCCTTAATGGTAAGCCTAATTGCACAAGCTTTTTTCAGCTGAAGCAAATTCTATCCTATGGCTTTTCTAATCCATTCATTAGAGCCTACTCTTGTTTAGTTCTTAATCCTTAAATGCACAAATGAATCATCCATGTTAAAATAAGTACTTAAATACAGCAGGAGAGCTATAGCAGTAAATCCGGCGGCTCTTCCACGCTGTTGTTTAAACTCATTCTCTTCCGGTTTTCTTTTAATGGGCATTTAAGAAAATTATTTGCACAGATCATCAGTGAGAACATAAACTAACAGGCCCACGGGTGTTTGTAGTCAGAGCTGAATAGGCTGAGGAATCAGAAACCTCTGATCAGTGTGGTTCTGAGTCAGCAAAGCTTATATCAGGCAAGCTCCAGAAAAAGTATGTGTAAGGCACCTGAACCCCAAGCTGCGCACCAGCACTTTGCACTGAGCTCTCTAGGACTCATGAATGGGACAGAATGGTTTCCGCCTCTCCTGCGGGGGTCAGAGCAGATCAGACTCTGTCAGTAAGTCACACTTACTTTTTCTCTCAGAACTATGGCAGTTAACCGTTTCCACCTCTGACTTTATTCAGTGATTCAGGATTTAAAAAAAACCCTGTTTGCCCCCAGCCTAGGTTTGTGCCCTTCCTCGCCTCAGCATCCCTCTGGGCTGTGGGCTGGGTTACCCCAGACGGGTTATCTCCGATCTGCGTATTCTGGCCGTGCAGTGGGCTGGTGTGCAGCAAGGACAAAGTTCGGGGCTGGAGGGAAAGCAAATACGGAGCAAATACTGTAATCTGGGGAATAACAGATTGTAGGTTTGCCGAGGGGCTCATGGCATCTGAGAGATGCTAAGCAACTTCCAGTTCTGACTGCTGCTCCGATCAGTTCTTCTGTAGTCAGTGCAAAAGCTGACTCGGTTGAATTTGGTTCAGAATTTCACAGGGGAATAATATTTCCCCTGCGTTTGAGTAATCAGATTTGTGTGAATGTCAGAAGACTACGAGCACCTGTTGCATTGCAGTTCCCTGTGTTTGTGGTTATTTGGACTCATTCTCTGATGCTGCTCAACCCTTCTAGGCTGCTGCTGCAGGAGAAATCTTACTCTCTCCTATGCATACTGGTTTATAATGACTAAGGATGCTTGCTGATCTGGTAAGGTGATTATTGCCATGGGCAGAGAGAGGGATCAGGGTCAAAAGCAACGTTTCAGAGACTGGGAGTGGATGTTTTCGTAGGATAATACAATTTGCAGAATCTTGCCAGACTGCTGCTCAGCAAGTGTGCTATGAACTCTTCGCTGTTTTGAACTGAACTATCAAAGAGGGGTTTGGGGGCATTTTTTCGATAGATGTATACCTGTGCTACAGAAGCTGCATTACGAACTTAAATATTTCCCTTTTCTGATCCTTTCTTAGACTCCAAGATGAACTTAGATGATTTCATCAGCATGGATCCCAAAGTAGGATGGGGCTCAGTGTTCCCCCTTCCAGACTTTGTGCATCAGTTTGGCAGACAGACTGATTACAGCTGTTCCTTGGAAGGACAGTGAAGTGAACAAGGAAGTTCTCCCTTCTTCTCTTTTGAGTGGGTGTGTTTTATTTTGCTGCTTTTATGTTGTATTTATGGTTTACATTTCTGTACATGGAATAAGTATTGGGGAAAACAGGATACCCAATCAGAAATATCGTGAACTGAATAAAAACTTTTATTTTGATTATGTAAGAATGAATGTGGTTTTTAACGTCAAATCAAAGGCAGACATCCCACCACAAGCATATTACTTTTTTCCATTTACTGTGCCCAAATTGAAAAGAGCATTTACATGCTGTAGGAAAAGCTTTTGGAGTAACAGATGCGTAAAATACTGAACAGTGTAGCTCAAATTGCTACATGTCACCACATTTTAGAAGTGAGATACAATATTTTTTCTTTGTTATGGTTTCTATCATTTATATAAACAGACAGTGCATCTCAGTTTAGCCACTAACTATCAATTAGGCCTTATTTTGCAGAAGCCTAAAGGCCAGACCCACAAAGGGAACATATATTTAGCAGTATAATCTTGAACTCCCAAGCACTATCTAAAACCAGGTGAGTGTCTAGGTTTCTGTGCTGTACGAGGGGAGAACTAAATGCCTGCCATTTCAGTTAAACTGTTCTGGTGCTGACAGTTGCTGGAAAATGCAGTTGCTTTTGCTTCTTACGCTGGCTGTGCATGCTCACCTGCACCCACGTGCTTGCATTTGACATTTGTCTGGCCCCGTGGTAATCCAGGGTAGGAAGGCTAAACCGACAGAAAGTGGGGGCTTTTTTCTGCCTCTTAGCTCCTTGAACTGGCTTGCCGTGAGGTCAGACAGCTGCTCTTGCTGGTATAAGGAAATCGGCAGGGACATATGGTTGGGGGGATGGGAATGAGAGAGCCTACCCCATACAGCGTCGCTTGCTGCTGAATTTCCTGAGGGGTGGTATCAAGCTGTGTCCTTGCAGGCGAATGGGGGAAAGCCATCACGCTGATCGGGGGTTTGGAGCAAAGTCTCCCATGTCTTAGAAGAGTGCCCTAAACATGGGGTTACAGAAATAGGCTGGAATGGGGTATTTAATTCTCTGATTTTGGACCTGTTCTACTTCACGTACTAGAATACCATAGAATCACAGGCTGGTAGGATAACTCAGGTTAGAAGGGTCGGGCAGTCTCTAGTCCAATCTCCTGTTCAAATCGGGTCAGACCAGGCTGCTCAGGGCTTTATCCAGGCAGGCCTTGGAAACCTGCTGGGACTGAGACTACAGCAAACATTCGTGATGGACTTCAGTCTTGGTGAGGAAAAGTGCAGTAACGCTCTGAAGTATTAAGGGATAATTTTGTTTGTAAGTAGAGAAAGATACAAAAACTTCAAAGATACTTATATGTATATGACTCTTCCATAGGAGTATTGTTATATATGTATTCTATTACTGTATCTCCCATCAGTTCTAGAGAATTTACTCGGCGCGTTAACAGCAGAGACAGACCGTTGAACCAGTGGGATTGATTCACTTCATCCAGACATCTCTTTCTCTGTGTCATGACGGCTGGCGGAGTGTAGAAACTTAGACCTTCTGTTGCCAGATGCAGCACAGCTGGTTGGTTCTGCAGATGGGCTGCTGCCACATGGATTCCTGGGGTGCCAGCGTGGACTACAGATAGGCCAGCTGTTGTGGCACTCATCTGCAGAGTGGGAGAGTTGATCTCTGGTTTCTGTCTGTGAACCAGCTTCACCAGAAGAGATTGAAATAGTAGAACTTTGGATTCCTGATAAACTATTGCTCAGAGCTCTACTGAGAAGGTGCAGCTCTGGATTAAACCAGACACACTTGTGTAGAAGGTCTGATTTATCGGTGTTTGGATGAAATGGCAGCTCTTCTGGCATAGCGCTCATGTGGCAGGCGTGCTTTGAGTGAGTGAAGATGTTGTTACTTACTATTTCTGAGTGATCTCAAGACTGGGTGTGAATGTACACAGCAGCAGAAATTTGCCTGCTCGGCTCCACATAGATGCTCACCCGGTGCCCAGGGCATCGCACACACTGCCCATGTTAGTAGCAGAACGGACAACTTGAAGATCCACATTTGAGATGAATGGGTTATGCTAAGCACTTATTATCCTTCAGGTAACTGACTGAATCTCATATACACAGAGTTCTGTGCATTGCTCAACAGACCCTGTAAGTTGTTGCAGAACACGAGGTTCTCATCCCTCCCTACCTATGTCATTTGATTTAAACACTGAGCTGCCATCCACAGCAGGTTTCCTATGCCTGAAATCCATGCCACACTCCCTTTTGTGAGGCTCAGACACAAGAATTTGCCTGGTTTAATCTAGGTTCAGGATCAAGGCTGTTAAGAAGGAGAACAGTCACAGCCATGTTTCAGAATATAGAATTTAAAAAAAAAGTGAGGAGACATGACTTTTTCTCTCTAATCATTCTGAACAGACGCTTAATTTTACATGTAGCAGGCTGGGTGTGTGTGATGATAGTTCTTCTATAATTAACAATATTTTTGTAGCTCTTTTAAAAAATTGTCATTCCAGAGGGATAGGTAAATGCTGGAGAACGATGTCATTCGGTGCTGAGGGTGCTGATATTGTGGTGCTGTCTCTGTAGCCCTTCAAGCCTGGTGGCATTTCGTCACCATTTCAGAAGGTGTGCTATCAGAAAGCCAGAGTTCAGGAATCAACCGAGTGCTCATTTAGGGCCCCAAATACAAGGAGCAGCTACTTGCTTCACCGTAATTAGCAAAGAGCAGCCCTTTTTCAAATGCTGATTGGCTCGCATTAGAGGGACTAAGTGAATTTCCTCCCCTCTTTGCTCCTTTCTCCAATTAACCCTCGTCTGGGCTGTTTTGGGGAACTTGCTGTGTTTAACCTTTCTTTTGTCATCTCCGACTGACTCGTGAGGTGGCCCCACCACCGCGGTTTCCTCACTGAGCACCACAGTAAGTTGCAGGCAGAAAAGCAGAGTTTGTTGAGAGCCACTTTGCCGAGGTCCTGCAGAAGCAGCGCATGTCAGAAGTAGAAGCAAAGAACTGCCACTGCAGAGCTCATGGCGAGGAGGCACCTTCACTGCCAGACACCACTAATTGTCAGCTCTGTGATCACTGAAGTGTTTAAACACCTAAGATTCAAGCAACTTTCTACCACGGGCATACGTACGTATGGGGTACACCATGCAGCAGAGCATGACTCGGTGGTCTTCGGGTACAGCTCCAGGCTGCCCAGTGCAGCCCCCCAGCCGAAATGGTGCTCCAGGGAGAGCCGCACTCAAGGCAGGGGAGCAGGGCTCCTGCTGCTATGAGATATGAAATAATATGAAAGTTTTGACATTACTTCAGGGCTGATTTGCTGGGGCACACAGGCGCAGCAGGATCGGCATGTGGTCATCCGTACTCCGTGCTGTCAACAGCTCTGGAGACTTTTAATCTTCCCTGTGTGCAGGTGATGTCCCAGTGTGTCCAGCACAAAGGTGTGCTTTTTACTTGCACTTTCAGTCCGATGATTTCTTGGTGCAGCTTAGCTTTCCATTCCCTTTCAGCCTTCTTTACCGTGTCCCTTCCAACAGTGAAGCCTTTCTGTTGTCTGGTTCTTATTACAGCATTTATGTGTGGAGAGCCCTTGTGTGGTGGCTTTTTGGACTAGGTCACCCTTGAGTCAGGCATTGAACAAAGCGAGGAGAAACCCCCCCTGCCCTCAGGTCGGTTACTCACAGTCCCAGGGTCTCCCAGCTTCTGCTTTCTGTTGGTCACTGGAAATTCTCCAACACTTCCAGACATGTTAGGGCAAGATCCTGATGGCTGTAAACTCATAATGGTGGGATGTCCTATCACGGGTAGTTCCGTTTACCTCTGTCAGGCTATTGATGCAGTAAGCTGCAGTGTAAGGTAGCACACCGCTGTCTCGCCTGCCTTTTTCTCCTCTTTGCTGCTGCTTTTTAGTTAATAATATAGTTTACTTAATAGCTAACCTCTTTTATTGACCTCTTTGGGACTTTTGAAAAAAACTGGCCCTATTTCTGACATGTATTTGCTTGGTTGATGAATTTCTGCAAACATAAGGGACCGGGTCTCTCTTGAGGAGATACTATTTCTCAGCTGGCCAGCAGAGAGAGCAGTCAGCACTCGGTGGACGGGCGGGTTGGGACGCTGGGCCGGAGACACGCTGCTGCACGCTGCACGCTCGGCCCTGCCAGTAGCTGGTAACAGTTATTAAAAAATAATTCCAACAGCAGTGCAGAGGTGATCCGTACCTTGCAAGGTGGCAGCTCATGGGTTAGGTATTGCCCTTGACTGCCTGAGTCTCTGAAGTCAGTGCAAGTCCCTCCTGCACATCAAGGACTATATGCGAGCATCGTCAAAGCACCTATCCATTTTTTGGGATCTGTTCAGCATTCACAATCCCTGCCGAAGTGGGTGCATGACACCGTAGATTATCAGGCTAATTGCTTTGCTGTCAATGTATGGATTTCAGGGGCTTGAATTTAGGCAGCCAGGACACTGCAATCTGATCTGCACTATTAAATAAGCTGCAGGGAGGCCCTGGGGTGCATTTCTGTGAAGCAGATTCCAGGATGAGAGCCGGGGTTGGGACATGTTGACCTGTGTGGTGTTAAAGATTTTAACAGTGGCCTCCTCTCCTCAACCCCTCATTGACCAACTAGCGCCTCGCATATGTGCTGAACCACCGTTGCTCTCCAAACCTCTGTTGTCAAACGGCCATCTCTGGGGTCCACTTTTCTTTTGTTACAATAACTTTGGTCCAAATTTTTTTATTTTACGGTGCCATATTTTCTTCCCCCACCTTTTCAGCGCACGTGGGTGGTGAGCTGAATGACCTGAGGAAGCTGTAGCAGGGAACAGGCAGGAGGTGTGAAAACCCCACCGTGTCCCTGCAGCAGTCACAGTTAGGTCCCACTGGGTGCCTTGCAGAACTGTTACTGCGACACCGTCCGTGGCCCGGGTGGTGGCTGTCCCCCGTGGCTGGCACGAGCCACACTGCCAGAGGGGAGGACCAGCAAA